CAAAAATTAAGTTTTGATATATTTACGGTAGAAAATGTTACTTGCCATTTCTTTGTGAAGTTTACTAGCAATTTCTGAGTGAAAATGTTTCCACATTTTTAGGTTTTTAGCTTTATGTGGTAAACTGAATAACTGAATAGATAAAAAAGCAAAGGTCTCATCTATTATAATTACCTATGAGAGAATCAGCCCTTTAGACTAAAATATATGATAAGAAGTCTTCAACTAGACACTTAATTTCAGGTAAGTTTAATTTCAGAATTAGCAATACAATATACATATACATATATAATACATATATTATATATATACAATATTAGCAATACAATACATACATTTAACCAAATCTAGTTAATCTCTAGTTTGTCGATCAGGGGCAACCTGATCGACAAACTAGAGATGAACTAGATTTGTTTAAATTCAGGCATCAACTATAGACAGCAGAAGAAAAAAAAGAAAAAGTGATATAATCACAATTTTTCAGAGCATGTGCAAAAATAGGGTCATAATTAATAACTTAACTATTTAAATTACATAATAAATAACAATACCACAAATACAAGTAGCCTACAAAACACAAGGTATTTACATGAACTTGTAAAATGCTTAGACAAATATCCATTTATATTTTCCTTTTTTAGTTTTTTTATCACAATGTTTCAACCAATTACCTCCATGACATACAGAAAAGCTTATAATTATGTAATTTGCCAAAAAACTTAATCCAACGCATCCAAAAACTCCCCAGTTTTTGCCATTTTCCTCAAAAGAAAGAATTCTCAGAATTCTCTTTAGATTATGCAGGCAATGCAAATCCATTACAATCAAACAAGTTATCCAACTAAAATCATACTCAAATCAAATTATTATTTTTTTTGTGCATGATCATCACCACAAATCCCCTCAAATTCTGACCCCTCGCCCCAGTCTCCCATTCTAAAACAGCATTGTTCCCCCCCATAATTTACATTAAGTCTCAGCACTGCTGACCCTGAGATAAGAGGAAGATTTTGGCATATTTTCAGTGTTTTTTCCCCCAATTTCCCTTAATTCACATTACATGATTTAATCAGCTTTAAAATGGAAAACAAATTGCTTTGGCACAGCAGGCAAGCGTGTTTGTGTAAATACAGAAGCATTGTCATGCTCAGCTGTCCTTTTTAATTCGATCTCTCTGTCTTTCCATCCTTTTTTTGTGTATCATGAACTAAGCAGTTCATCATGAACGACGAGCGCACGCACAGGAGCAACAACAATCAGAGAAAGATCATGGTGGCACCAAAGCCAGTGTATTTTTGTATCACACAAATGAACAGGCTTTTAGACTGTTTAGTTATTTTTACTACATTTTCTGAGCCTTTAAATGGTTACATCAGATTTAAAGCTAGAAAAAGGTTGCTGTACATGTACAACTGTTTCCGACTAAAGCTTTAAAAAGCAAAGTGATATTAGCTGGTCATTGGAGGTCTGTGATTATGTACCATTACTGCACAGACAAGCGGTAATTTGTCTTCATAATTGGCACTGGCACAAAGACCCAATCAGAGCAGCCTGCTAGGTGATGTTGGCATGGTAATTACAGTCGGACAGGAAGCTTGGCATCCTGGTGGCCTCCATTTTAAGGTCAGAGTTCAACTGAAGTCAGCTTTCTTTCACACTGTAAAATATAGAAGGCTCTCAGACATGACGATAAAAACATGGCTGTTAGCTCCTACAGCAATTTAAAGCCACACAGTAAAACACTATATCTATTATGTCTAAGGCATGACTATTCATGTACTGTAAGAAGGATTCGATCCAATAAAGGTCAAAGGTGAAGTGTGTAATTTCTGCACTATTAGCGTTACCAAATGCACTTGGAAAAATAATGACTTTTTAAACTGCAACGTTCAATCACACTTAACCGCCATGAGATTTCAGTACTTCACGGCTCAACAATCAGGATTAGGTTCATTTTCACAGGGCCCACCACAAAACAGTGTTATTTTTGTATTATTTGTATACTATTATAGTATTTATTCATATTTTGAATTTTATATATAGGATGGATGGATGGATGCTGCAAATCATTTATTATTAGTCATTATTGGCACCGTGACCAACCAGAAATAATATTTATATTATATATTTATATATTTAATTATAATCAAAGAGAGAGACTTTTAGAATTTTACAAAATAAAATTAAAAACACATAGCCAATGGAAATGATCCAGCTAATTAGATCAATTTAAACATGGTTGTGTTGGAATATGATGAACATTCAGTGCAAAACATTACATCATTACAACATTGCAAAACATAACTGACCTAAAAAGCTCCCAATACTGGCCATAGTCCTGTATTGTTCCTACAACAAGTGCAGGTCAAGTAGTTCTAGATAAAAGGTGGCAGCTAAATGGGAAAGTAATAGTAGCAGGCCTATATATAAAGAAGAGGTCCAGAGAAAGCTACTAGCGTTCTGAATCATTCTAGACAGTTAAGGGCATTTGTGCTTGTGACCCGTCGAAAGGCTGAATAAAAGATATTAAACTCATCAACTTGATGATTAGGTAAAAAAGGGGGTTTTCAATTAGATGCTTGCTTTGGACTCTTCAGAAAGGTCACTGGGCGGCCCTGGCATGACATCGCATACATGCATGATTTAGAAACTCCACACTTCATGTTCATTATTCTGCGAGCGGCGCCGTCTCAGAGAGGATGACATTAACCGCCATTGTGAAGAACAGCGATGGGGACAGATCGCTCGCTGAAGGTTAATTCAAACTAAAGAAGAAGTCAACCAATCAGAGGGCTGAAGTTTGTGTCCAACAGGCAGTTCGGGAGAACAAATTAATTCTTATTCACAATGAACCCTACAGTTCATCACATGCTTTCACCTCTTATCATTTTTTCTGACAATGCCGGAGCTCTCTGACAGCCCCGAGCCTTGAGACCAGCAATTTTAACCTATTATGAGACATCTCGCATCTTTTTGGAGGCATTTCCTGTTATTATTTTAGGCTAGATGGAAATTTTTTACAAAATGACAGAGCTGACTTTGATTTGAGATGGCAGGGGGTCTGATTATATGGTTTCACATTAAAATTAGCAGCGTGTCCTAAAGCCTAACACAGGATGTCCTTGTGTGAGGTCACAGTGATGTACTGAGGGTCTGTATATGAGGGTCAGCGGTGTCATGGCTCTGAGCTGGACGAGAATTAAATGTCCACAGCTTGTGTGGCTTCCTGTGTGTTTCCATCACTTCAAGCCATTCCTTATCGATTCTCAAGGTGCGGGTTTATTTCATGCACATGCAGCAAGAGGGGGAAAAACCTTGCTAAAAAGGAGTATGATGAACCAAAAAAACCCCAAAAAGGTTAAAATGTTGGGTTTTTATTTTAGGGACTATAGAAGTAAATGGCACTGCTTCATATAGTATGCTCCTTTTCACTCAGCATTCACAAAAAAATTTGTTTGTTTACAGGCCCAAGTAAAAAAAAAAAAAAAAAAACACAACCACCATATTCATGTTTTCATAAAAGCTGCAACTTCATTTATGCTAAAAAGTATTGTAAAAATAATAAATAATGGTAAAGTCACCAAAATAAAAGTGGAGGTTGAAGCTATACTGTAGGAATTTTATTCAATAGAATATTACAAAATAGAAATGCTAATAATGCAGTGTGAATATTAGCCAATTGTCTGAGAGAATGACATGTATTTAAGAATTTATTTGTCAAATTCTACTCTAGTTTATGGGCATGTCATCTTAAAAAATTAAGAAATAATAATAATAATAATCAACATACCTTTTATATCAGTTTTTAATTTTAATTTAGTTTAGAATTTTTTATGCAACATCTCAAAATACATGGACAGACACCTGGCTTATAATATTCTCGTCATCTGACTTTTTGCATGGCATCAGGTGAAAATCATACATTCAATAAGCAAGGAAAATAGTGTGGGGCTAGTTACACACTAAAGTTTAAAATCTAAATTAATTCTTTAAACAATCCCCTAATCTCATAATGTAAACTTGGAATTGCAAGGAAGTAAGTCAGATATCTCTGTTTATATCTTGTAATTCTGAAAAAAATTAAATAAAATAAAAATCTGAATTGTGAGATATAAACTAAGGGGGAAGAAAGTCAGATTTTGTGAGAAAGTTAATCTTTCATTTCATTTTCACTTTATTCGCGACAGACGTACAATTTAGTGGCATTATCTCCCAAGTCCCTGTTAATTTCGGTCCGTGGCCACTGGCTAGGTGAAAACTATGGGTTGCCATGTTTTCACAACAAAATCCGCCCAATTGCTACTCAAAACTAGCCCAAACTAGCCCAATCGCATTTCGAGGGGGTTCCCCAGTAAAAAACGTGTTCCGGGGGTAAAATACGCATTTCAGGGGCTAAATATCAATTTTTTTGGGGGTCGCTTGAACCTGCGGACATGAAAAACAACCCGCGACAACAGTGTTAAAGGGGTCATATGATGTGATTTCAATTTTTCCTTTCTCTTTGGAGCGATGAGCTGTGTAAAAAACGACGCGTTTCAGAAAGGCGGGGCATAGAGGAGAAACGATAAAGTACATTATGTGGAAAAGAATGTGTTTTTTTTAACCTTAAACCGCATAAACACATTGCATTACACCAAATAATGTTCTTTTTGCAACATCATATGACCCCTTTAAAGTAGGCACAAGTACAAATGCCTGTTGCACCTGCCTTGCAAAGTCGCTAGAGTACAATTACCGCACTATACGAAATATTTGCGTTGAACCATGAACATAAACGTAACTACACGTATAAACGCAATGTTTGCTAAACAGTAATATCGGGGTAACATTTGAAAATAAACAGCAGAATGACAGCTTATATTTCGCATGACACAGTGCCCTAACCAAACGCGACGCAACATAACCACAACCACTGAGATAAAGTTCCTTTGACCCGTTTGCGCGCTCTATCGCACTAGGTAGTCAACACCAGCTGAGTGTAAAAAAATAAGAGCACACACCTTGTATTTTCAAGACATCCATGATGATTCTCCAGCCTCTCCAGTGGTTTCCTAGTTTAGGAATTTGGGGACATCCGAATGTTTCTCAACTTTCACGACAGAAAAAGTCCCACAAATGAAAAAAAAAAAAAAAAAGCAGAAACAAAATACAATCATACTTAACATTAGTGTTCGTGTTACCATGTAAGTAATTATGTGATTAATGAGAAACACTAATGAACATCATGTTCTTAATATGCAATTAGTTTGTGGAGCAGCTTGCAATTACACATTGCTGTTGTAATTAATTTGATTCATTGTCCAATATGTGTAACACGAACACTGTAATGTGAAGTGTTAACAAAAAACACAATTAACAAAAACTCAAAGCTCTGCGTCATTCATGACAGGAAAATAAGGTCTGTGGTTAATATTATTTGAAGAGACTTGTTTTGTAAAAATAATTATCGTATGCATATGTAACATGCAAAATATATCATTTATTTTTTTTATTATTTATCTAAGCTATTCTGCAAACCCATTAGAAGTTCCCGGGGGAACCCATGGCTAATTAGCTTTTTGTGTCCGCCTACAAATTGGCGTTGTATCTGAACAGCTTTGTTATGCCTTGTGACATCATTTCCTCTAACAGCAAATCTGTTCCTATTTCTTTTCTGTCTCCATTTCCTATTCCTTCTCACGTTAGTCTGTATCATTTTTACGTCACCTCGCAGCTATTGCATTTTCTTTCTTCCTCTTCTGCTTCAACTGTCTCACTTTGTTGTTTTAAAATTGATAAAACACATCTCTTCCTGTGGTTGCCCAGTTGTGTTATTCATAGGCTATATTTATACCTTTTGGTTATCACAGTTTATTTATCCATTATGGCTTTTTTATATATCCAGTCCTCTAATAAAATTTTCTAAACCGCAAATGGAAAAAATAGGACAGATAGAAAAAGGAAAAATGGTATCAAAGGAATAAGCATGTATTAATGCTGCCATAAGTTTAGACCAGCATAAATCTCTGTGTTTGTATTAGTTGTGATGACGGACAAAGACAGACAGATAGAATAACAGATAGAATGATTGACAGAATGATAGAATAATACTGTATATCGAACGATACGATAATATGAATGAAAGATGGAACAACAGAATCAAAGACAGAACAACATATAGAATGATCCGATAGACAGAACCAGAGATAAAACACTGGACAAAATGATAGATAGACTGAAGGATAGAACAATACGATAGACAGAACAATAGAACATGTACTAGATAGACATACAGAACGATAAACCAAAAGACAGAATGATAAATAGATTGAACAATAGATAGAACGACAGACAGAATGATAGATAGACTTAAAGGAATCATATGATGCAATTTCAATTTTTCCTTTCTCTTTGGAGTGTTACAAGCTCTTGGTGCATAAAGAAGATCTGTAAAGTTGCAAAGACTAAAGTCTCAAATCCAAAGAGATATTCTTTATAAAAGTTAAGAGTCAACCACGCCTACCTAAAATGGCTCGTTCTAACACGTCCCCACATACCTACGTCACGATGTGGGAAGATTTGCATAACGTCGCTCAAATGTTCACGCAAAGAAAGAAAGCATAACTTTTATTCTCGCTGTAGTATTGATACAAATAAAAGTAATGCTTGTTACATACTATTGACCCAGTACTGACTTCCAAAAGAGGGCACGACTAGAAATCAGTGGTTAAGTTGTATTTACAACACTGTTCCAGAACAGTTCAACCCAAATAATCAGATGTGTCCAGCGCATTTTATTTACCTGATCCTGGTAGAGTAGACTACAATGCCGGCTGTTCTGACTCACAGACTGTAAGTACGTTTTTTATATTTAAAGAATTTGCCACTGATGATTCAAACGCGAGTTTTGGGCAGTAGAGTAGCACTTGTTGTTTGTCATTTCTCAGATTACAAATGCAGACATGGTTTTATGTTACGCCCCGCCTGGACAGGGCATCACAATATGGTGAGGCGCGTAACATTTCCGTCACACGCTTGAGGTAGGGAAGATTTGCATAACGTCGCTCAAATGTTCACGCAAAGAAAAAAGGTGTAAGTTTTATTCTCGCTGTAGTATTGTTGTTGCCGCCGCCGCCATGTTTCGAAACTACTTTGTTTGGCCTTCCAAAAAAGGATGGTATCCGCTTCGTCATGCCTGCAGCTGATCCGTGCTGGTTGCTGAGGAAATACATCAACTTCACGCTGTGGATCGCCGGATCGGCTTTCACCGTGGATGAAGTGGAGTCCAGCCCGGCGTCATCACATGTGGTTGCCGCAAGCCCGCCGGATTTCCGTCAGATGCTTGAGGTATTCGGCCAATCACAACACACTGTAGATCTGGCCAATCAGAGCACACCTCGCTTTTCAGACCGATTAGTTTTGTAAAAATCGACGCGTTTCAGAAAGGCGGGGCATAGAGGAGAAACAATAATGTACAGTATGTAGAAAATAATGTGTTTTTTGAACCTTAAACCGCATAAACACATTACATTACACCAAATACACAAAATAATGTTCTTTTTAGCAGCATCATATGACCCCTTTAAGGATAGTATGATAGATAAATTGAACCATAGATATACAATAGACAGAACGACAGACAGAATGATAGAAAAAAAAGAATGATAGACAGAACAATAGAACGGAAAATAGAGACAGAACGATAAATCAAAAGACAGAACAACAGACAGAATGAACGATAGAACGATATGATAGACAGAATGAATGCAGAATGAACAACAGATAGAATGATAGAACTATAGTGTTAAGACAGAAAGATAGAAAAAATGATTGATAGAATGATATACAGAATGGTAGAATGACAGAACGATAGAATGATAGACAGTAGAATGATAGATTGAATGATAGAACTATACATGGAGTGCAAAATAGACAAAGAAAAATGCTAGAGAGAAAGACATACAGAATGGTAGAATGATAGAACGATAGATAGATTGAACAATAGGTAGAACACTATGATAGAATGAAAGATATAACAGGACAGAACGACCGATAGAATGATAGAGCTACAAATAGACAGAATGACAGAAATAACAATAGATAGAATGATAGAACGACACAGACAAAACGACAGGACAGACTGCCGATAAAAGTATGATAGATAGAGACAGACGATAGATAGATAGATAGATAGATAGATGACTTGTTGGATGCATCTTTATGGCTGTCACAAAAAAAAATCAGTTGTTTATTCTCTAGCAGTGTCAGCCTTGTATGAGTCAGATCCGCCTCCAAGCATGAATGATTTACTGTAAAATGTATAATCTGATGATAAATTAGAATTTAAAAAAATCCCCATTTAAAAACAACAACAACAACTCAATATTATATTAAAAGATTTTTTATTCACAATTTAGGTGTAACAAATATAGTTTATCAAAAACCTTTGCTGTTCTTTAATATAATTTATTACATAAGATCATAAGATTTATATAAATGATGGCTGGCAGTTTGCCAGAATGAGATATGTACAATTAAAAAACAAATTAAAGAAAAAAATAATAAAACCAAACACTTTCCCACAAAATTAATTGCATATATATTAAAAGAAAAAAACAGAAACAAATCAGACTATGTGCAATGGAATGATTATCAGCAATATTGTACAGTTACATTTCTGAGGTTGTCTCATGAAGAAATAAATGACAAGAATCACAAACAAAAAAGGCATTTTCTATGCAAGATCATCAACACAATATTTAAACAACAAATTCTTAATCCGAAAAGCACATCTCCTATTCTGCGTATCGCAAGCAGATGCGAGGAAACGTCTGTTCCCGAATGTCACCTAAGAGTCGCTGCGGATCCTCAGTCACAGCTTGAGGAATCACTTTCACTAAAGAAAGAGACAGCACAAATCGCTAGTCCGCGCTAAGCCGCGGCAGTGCTAAACATCATTTAGATTCGCAGTATCATGAATACAGTGAGCGTGATGTCTTATCTACAGTGTCACAGTGTTTTATGACGGGCCTCCCTCGAGATGACGGTACTTTCATATATTGCGGCTCCTAACTCTGACAGTACGCTGTTCGTTAGCACACATACAGCGGAGAAATACCAAGTGTTGCAGTCGCTGGCCTCAAGAGAGGAATCTCTGCAAGGTATTTATTTCCACGTAGATCCACTAGTATAATACACAGGTTAAAGCGCCACACCGTGCTAGTTAAGCAGGGTGGTTTAGTTTTGAGTAGTTTTGGGAACACTAGACGCTAGCATCAGCCCTACTCCACAAACCTCAAATTTGACGTGTCAAATTCCCAAAACATACTAATAAGATGGGAATTGGTCCATTCCTCCATGAATTGGAATGTGGCTATGTAATGTAGTGTATGTGATTCTTTTGTGTGTGTTGTATCCAGTGCCATGGACTGCTTTGCATTCATTGTTTTGCATCTTTTTTTTTTCATCAAAATTCCTCACTTGTGCTGTCACGTTGTCCTACAGTAATATTCCTATTCTTTTCTTCATGGAGAACCCAAATATACTGATTCACAACTTTGTGCTTTCATGATAAATCAAACGAACGAATGAACGAATAAACAAACAGATAAAATGATAAAATCACAACAGCTAGGCCAAAGTATGTTCAATTCACATTTGGTGGTACATTCATACAAATATATTCACTCCCCTTTTTGACTGATGCTGCCCGTGTTGTCCTAATAAAACACTTTTCCAATGGATTCAAGCAGCTTCATCGCGGTTTACAACAGAGCTCCTAAAGGGACATGGTGATTACATGGGAGGAAAAATTATATTTCAATGCTTATGTGTTCTCACAAAATCTTTGCATTCCCACAAGAAACTTTTGGGTTCACTCACAAAAATGTTTGTTACTTTAAGAAACTTTGCGTTTGCTCACAAAACCTTTAATTCACAAAACTTTGTATTCCCCCGGAAAAATGTGTTTGCTTGCAAAAGTTTTGTGCCTGTTCGCAAAACCTTTGCATTCGCTCACAAAAAGTTTTGCGTACCACAGAGAAACTTTACGTTCGCTCACAAAACCGTTTTCGTTCCACAGACAAACTTTTGCATTCACTCGTGAATTTTTTGTATTTTTTGCATTCCCAAGAAACATTGCTTGCTCGCGAAACTTTTGAGTTCGCTCACAAAAACTTTTGCATTCACTTGTAAAACTTATGCGTTCCACAGAGAAAATGTTGCTCTCATTTTTTTTTACTTTTGTGTTCACTTACAAAAGCTTTTGTATTCCACAGAGAAACTTTTACGCTTGTTCGTAAAACTTTTGTGTTCGCGCTCAAAAAGTTTTGTGTTCCACAGAGAAACTTTGCGTTCGCTCACAAAAACTTTTGCATTTCACAGAGGAACTTTTGCATTTACTCGTGACACTTTTGTGTTTGCTCAAAAAAAAAAAATTGCAATAACTCTTTGTGTGCAAATTTTTTTTGATAAAAAAAAAAAAAAAAAGTTATAGAAAGAAAAATTATATTTCAGTGTGTTTGTGAGTGAACACAAAGCTTCTCGGGAAAAAGCATTAGTTTTGCAAGAAAACGCAAAAGCATTGAAATGTAATTTTTCCCTCTCATCATATTTTTTCCTATTATCATGTCTCCTTTAGGGGCTCCATAGTTTCCTGCCCTCCACACTGAAAAAAGACAAAAACCCTATGTCTTGAGTAATAAATTAACACAAAGTACTCTATTTTACATGTCTAGGATAAAAAGTCTCTGCCTCCGTTGATTAAGTAAACAATCAAAACACATTTTGTACACATTTTATGAAAAAGTAAGCTCACAAATGTAGAGGAATGAACGATAAACGACTGATTCTTACATCCATCACGAGGGTAAGAGGGCTGTAGGCCAGTAGGAAGATACCTTCGGTCACAGCGAAAATAAATAGTGTTGCTATTAAAACTTGACTAAAATGATCAGTAAGACTAAAAGGCACTAGTTGACTTGGTTTCACTACCTTGCTGTCGAATAAAGCCTCAAAATACCGAACCAATCCTCATCCCTAAAAAAACGGACAGCAAGATACGGCGAAGTTCAGTGGATATCTCTTATCTTCGCTCCTGTAAACGCACATGATGCAAAAAACACAAGCATGTCGATGCAATTTGAATTACCTATGGCTTTATAACGTGTGTGAGAGGGCAAGTACGATGAAAAACGATCTGGTCCCTCACAGAGGAAATATGGTCCTTCTGTGTCTCTGAGGCTCAGAGACGTGTCCATAGCATCAAGGACAGAGAAAGGGAACAGGGGCAGCATGCAGAATCCCGAGAAGAGATGGAAGAGGAGAGAAGGCTGTGGAGAAACACATGAAGCTCCAGCAAATTCCTGGAGGACAGGAACTCTCCAGCCACAGGGGTTTTGTGTCCATAGCTCTTGTCCACTGTTAAAGCAGGTCCAGAAAATTACGTCTCAGTGGCGCTTTGGGGTTGGATGAAGATTACTTGAGATGGTTTGCTATTTCTACATTCTGTTTCTTAATGACGGGAAGAGGATGGGCCTCCGTGTTGAACACCCAGTGTTCGAAGGGCAAATGGTCATCGTCGGAGAACAAAAGATACAGATACCTAAAAAAAAAAAGAAAAAAAGATGTTTCAAGGGCATTTTATAATATAGTTAATCACAGTGAGATTGCCTGTAAGAGATTTGGAAAACATGATTATGTACATAAATTAGAAGCATAAACATCAAGGTTATGAGAGGCAAATAATTATCACTAAACTCGAAGTACAGCTAAATTCCACCAATTAAATAGATTTTTATTTCTTTTCACAATATGAGTGGTCAGGGTTCAACCAAATCAGTGTAGTTTTATGGGTTTTTAGTTTAGCAACGTCACATGAGCAAGAGTGCTTTTCTTCTCAAATATCTGCACGATTCGGGCTACGTTTACACGACAACGATGTAGTCAAAAACGGAAAAGTTTTTTTGCGTTTTTAAAAAGTTTCACGCATACACGACAACGTTTTCAAAACGATTCGCATTTACACAAATCCGTGAAAACGGCCAAAAACGCTGTATTACGTATGCCAGGCCAGTAGTTGGCGCTGTCACCTTGTTAGTAAACAGTACCTGTTGCCGTGTGTATATGATGCGTCTCCGCTGTTGGTTGTAATATTGGTGAAGTAAATCCACACTTTGCTGAAGAAGCGTTAGCAAACTCTTAAACAGCAACAACAATACCATATACTCCGCCATTGTTGTGTATGTTTGTTCGCGCTTGCCTTTAAAATCGACACGTACTGCGCATGTCTACATACCTAACACATACTATGCACGCGCATGACGTCAAAGATTCCCGTTTTGGGTGTTTACATGGAAACGGCAACTGTGGCGTTTTCAAAAACTTGCACTTTGAAACCCGTTTTCAAAAATATGCGTTTTCAGTGTAAACGAACAGGCAAAACGCATGAAAAAGTTTCCTGTTTTTTGCTGAAAACGTTGTCGTGTAAACGGCCCCTCAGACGGCGATACTGATTTTATACAAAAGCCGAATGATCAAAAAGTGAATTGTTAATTTTTAGATGCAATATTGTCTGTTTTGATCAATTTTGCAAACGAAAATAGTTTCAAACAAAGCCACAGCAGAACTGTTGTGCATCTACAAGAAACACGGTCACACTTTATTTTAAGGTCCAATTCACGCTAACTATTAACTATGACTTTTGCCTCAAACTCATAATTACAGCTTAGTAAGGTATTTGTTAAGTTTAGGTATTGGGTAGGATTAGGGATGTAGAATATGGTCATGCAGAATATGTGCTTTATAAGTACTAATAAATAGCCAATATGCTAGTAATACCTGTATGTATGCTAACAAGCAACTAGTTAATAGTGACAGTTGGTACCTGTACTAAAGTGTTACCGAAACCACTACTGAATGAATCCGTGTTTTTTAACGAATCGAGTGAGCCAAAGATTCAGTGACCCATTCATAAAGAGAGTCACATGCTTTTTCGGAATGAATCAGCCATTTGAATGAATCGGTTGATGAATGACTGAATGACTCACTCGTCAAGAAATAATCTGGTCTGTGTTTGTCTAAAGTCTTTCTTATTGAGAGAAGCGAGGATGAATGCGTCTACTGGCAGTTTTAATTTCATATTGAGAGTAGCATTTGATTTGTTTCCATATTTTAATATTAATTTAACCCATTAATACCAATTTATTATCATTATTTATGCAGTGTTGAATCAAAATATTTCTTTCTAAAGCTACTTTTTGTAATGTCAATTCATTGCTTTACTCATCGAACATGAGTTTAAATTACATATACATTACATGCACACACACACACACACACACACACACTATATTATAATTCGAGTACATTAGTTCAGGTACAGTCTACTCTTTCCACCTGTTTAGCACTCCAGTCTGACAGCACTCAACAAGCCTTATCATTTGAGGTATCATTCATGACAAGCACAAATGACGTGAGTCTTGTTTCACGCCAAAGTTTAATACTTAGTATGCACAACAGTACTAACACAAACACCTCTAATTATCTCAATTAATGCCAAACCACATAAATAAATCTACCTCTTAAAATCTGAATGTTTACTTCGTTAACAAAACATGAACATCTCCCAAGTGCTGATGAAGTAAAACGGTCTCTGCCAAGCAAAAGACTGCCAAGACAACAACAACAACGTAAATAAGGGATGAAGATTACAAACTACAAAAGGTCTAAACATTTCGCTTCCTTTGGCTGAGAGCAGCAACTTGTGTCCGACAGCCATAGCTAAAGGACATTATTTTACAAGCAAAGACCATAATTCAAAACCTGCAGCCAAGGAAGGGGTTAGAAGGCACATCTTTATTTGGAAGGCTGGATGACACTCGTAAAAATTACAGTCTATAAACTTTAGCTGGAGACGGCGATGCTGACGCCTGTTTCCTGATGAAGTTGTGACCTTGATAATATGGTTTCTAACCCTCCCTCCCTCTCGGTTTCCTCTCTGAACAGACATGCATTGGCTGGAGATTCGCTGATGAAAAGCCCTCTTCTCTGCTGCCCCTCTGAAAATATAAGCTGTTGACCTCAGGCCTCCAGAGTTAAAGCTAAATCATGCATGTACACTGGATAACCCACTCCTGGCAGCTTAAACCGCACCTCCTTCTGCAGAGAGTATGATCTTCAGACCTTCAATTCTGGGTTAGAAAGAAACTGGAAGGTGAATGGCAAATATAAATGACAGAGGTCACAAGAGGTCATACTGGTTCTGCAAGTGAAATGAACCCAACAACCATCAACCGATAACCACTTTTATATTTTATTTTGGGCCATATTTAATGATGGATATAGTTGAATGGAGGTGTGCCATGGTTTTATGCAAAGCCACAAAATATGGAATCAAAAAGAAGACCCCAAAAGAAGAAAAAAAATATCAAAACAGGACAAAATTAATCATTGGGTTTTATCTAGTGGTCAACCAATATGGATTTTTTTGATGGCAGATGATGTATTAGAGAGGTAGCCAATATAAAGACGATATATATATATGATATCACACTATTTATTTTAAAGATAAAGTTAAAAACGGCATAACACTTTACATCCTAAGACCTACTTCATATACGAGTACATATGATAAGCTTTACAGCTTTAAACATACATGTATATATTTTTATGATGTTCTTTTTAATACCTATATTACATTACTTATGTTTTTTAATGTGTTTCTATTAGGGCTGTCGCGATTCGTCGATTTTATTAGACTATTCGATTTTTAAAAATCCTCAACTTCATTTTGCTGCGTCGACTAACCGGCAAAATACCGAAGTGGTGCATTTCACGGACGAGAATCCATAAAACAAATTATTAGACTGTTTCCCAAGGCTGCATGATGTGAATTCACAAACTTCTATACTCTGTTTTAATGGTTAAATTAAATTTTATTAATCAAAAAGCCTGTCTAATTAATTGAGTTTTACAGTTTTATCTTTACCAAATTCTGTTTTCCATTATTTTCTGGATTCCATTTTAATGGTTCTATTCAATTTTAATAATCAAAAGCATATCCAATTAATTGATTTTATATAAAAAAAAATAGTATTTTTTTTCTTTTTTTTTCAGAAATACTGCACATTTACATTTTGTTCTTAAATAAATTCTGGTAAATAACATTTCTGGTTTTTCACCTTTAAAAAGTGTTTTTTGATTATACTTGTATTATTAGTAGACTAGAACACGTGGACATGTTGTCATTCTTACACTATAATACTGAACTTGGATTTCAGTGATTTGGACTATGAGATGGACACTTGCTTCTTGCACTCTATGTTGCACTTTACTTTTGCTTTAAAAAAAGGATTTCATAGAAATTTGAATTTCATTTGGTTTAATAAAATATAGTTTAATAAAATATTCTTAAGTAAAATTGTTGATTTTTTGTGGGAAATTAATCATTTAGATTAATCAATAAATTAGTCGATAGATTCATCAAAATAAAAATAAAAAGTCGTTAATGGCAGCCCTAGTTTCTATTTTTGTACAGCACATTGGTATGCTTTTACAGTTTTTTTATGTGCTTTATAAATAAATGATTGATTAACTGATATTAAATTATTGTACATACTATTTACTAAATTATATAATGTGAAAAGGATTAATTAGGAAAATAAATATAAAAAATAAAATCTGTAAAATAAAAATATTTATTCAGATGGCAACTACTTGATTCTGTAATTCTATTATAGTCCATGTCTGTCTGCTAATTCACACAGACTGATCGTTAAACACAGAATAGTGAAATTAAACGTTTATTGAATATTCAAAGACTTGTTTAAATGAAATGCGTATTAGCTGAATGTAGACGGTGCATGAGAAGGCGTTTGCCATTCTGTTACTAACAATATGCTATAATACTTTTTCATATACCCTTTACTAACTTTATTTAAAGTTCTGTCAAATTTACAATAATAATTAAAAAAATATATATTGTAAAAAAAAATTACAAATATCAGCTGATATATTGGTTTCACCACTATTTTCAGGCAATTTGTTTTGGACCCCATTGTATGAAAAAAACAAAAAAAAACAGATTCTTTGAAATATCTTCTTTTCCACAGAAGAAAGAAAGTAAAGTCATACAGGTTTGGAAGGCATGAGGGAGAGTAAATGATAATCGAATTTCATTTTTGTGTGTTTTGTAGTGGCTCAGCATGTGGAGCAGAGCAGAAGTGAGCATGTTAAAGAGCACAGTCATGCCCACAAACACATTGCGAGCATTTCTATGAACAGGAAACTGATCCCTCAACCCGCCAGACAGTCTGGCTCTAAAGAAGAATCATTACTTAATACGCACTTACTGTGCAAAAGCGGCAAACGCAAACCAGAAGCAACAACAGAATGAGAAACAACCAGAGTGGCAAAAGTTGAAAGCAGGGGTTTCTGGATGCGCTCTCTCTCTCTCTCTCTCTCTCTCTCAAAGAATTGCTAAGTCTTTTCTGTGCTCAATTGTGTGCACTGCACTCCTCCTGGCCAAAGGGCAAGCGCTCCTCCAAAATATTAAAGGCAGGAGAAATGGAGAGCTGCTGTCTGGCGTGGCAGGGTGAGACTCGAACAGTGATTTCCTCTTAAAACGCAATCAAAAGGGAGGACTGGAGAGCTGGGATACAGGATACAGGAGAGCATAGCGACCTCGCTGACTCCACAGCTCTTCATTTTGGGCCCTGACAAAGTAATTGACTCTTTCTTTATTCATTCCTTTCATTTATCCGTGTCTTTAATGATTAATGTTGTGTGATAGGGATGTCTGTGAATGAGTTCCAGCTGTCACAGTCTTGTGTCTCAATCATTTCATCTTGACGATTCTCGCTTTGACAGAGAAATGGCTCAATTCATGCATTCTGAGTGAAGAGCTTTCCTCTCCTTTAGTCAGTCACTGCAGAATCACAAGATCGTCTCAGTCTCTTACAACATGCCTATATATTGCAAACCAAAGGGCAAGAGGTTTGTGAAAATCGGAAGCTCCAATCTGACTGGCTCGCTGATGTGACTCAATCTCAGTGCTCTGAGATATAAAGATGAGTTTACAAGCTTATTTTACCCCAAAATCAAAGGACATAGCCTACATAACATTTTGCATAAAGAAAATGAAGACCATTAATCATAAGTTGTCTTGCATTGTAACATTATTTTTATGACAATTAAGCACAGTTTCCCAAATTCTCATACTTTTCCCCCTCATTATTCTGACTGATGACTCTCATTAATATAATACAATTTTACAAATTACAATAATAGCCATAGTACATAAATACAGTAGTCTTTACAGTTCTTTCTCTCTCTCTCTCTTTCTTTCTTTCTCTTTCCATTCCAGTAATATTTAATGTTGGGAGAAATGAGCTTAATGCCAATAACACCATGCCAGCTTCTATGGTTATATTTATGGCAAATGCCAGGTTTTGTTATTCAAAAATAAAACTAAAAATGTTTAAGATTCATTTTTCTAAAAACCCTTTTCGGTTTACTTGATTAAAAACTTTTTTAAAAGTGTCAACAGAATAAAAGTTCCTCAAAGGGAAAGAAGTATTACAGTTTAGTAAAATATGCTTGATTGATAGTGGACTTTGACAAGATTAATACTTAAGGAAATTGTATCCTATTTAAATTAAAATGTAAGTCTTGAGCGTGCCATCCGGGATCGTATGTAAATAACTTGATACCAGCAATTACTAAAAGGGAATACATATCTTGTCCCAACCTCCCAAAAATTATTATTACTATAATGCAAAAAAAAAAAAAAAACTATGTACAAGTGGTTTACTTGATTAAAAACTTTTTTAAAAGTGTCAACAGAATAAAAGTTCCTCAAAGGGAAAGAAGTATTACAGTTTAGTAAAATATGCTTGATTGATAGTGGACTTTGACAAGATTAATACTTAAGGAAATTGTATCCTATTTAAATTAAAATGTAAGTCTTGAGCGTGCCATCCGGGATCGTATGTAAATAACTTGATACCAGCAATTACTAAAAGGGAATACATATCTTGTCCCAACCTCCCAAAAATTATTATTACTATAATGCAAAAAAAAAAAAAAACTATGTACAAGTGTAATGAATGTTTGTTTGTGTGCTCTGTACTCACTTGAGTGTTTCGGCCAGGTAGAAGCTCTGCTGCACGTCATCATGGTTGGGAGTGTTAGCGTAGACGTCTCTCACTCCACTGTAACCCCCTTCCACCCTGCAGTACTTCTCCAGAGCCTGATATTCAGAGATACAAATGTACCTGTCAGTATCAATGTAATAGCTTTATACATTCCTAGCAAGTGTCATGTAGCCTACTTTTCATTTTCAGAGACAGGACACCAATGCAAAGGTGCTTACTGGACCAAGTCAAAAGACCCCCATCCCACAAGCGTAAGGCCCTCGAGATTTCCTTAAGAGTTTACCTTTAACCTGTATTTTTAGCCTATAGTAAATATGAAGGTCTTAATTAGGTTGTTTAGCTTATGTTTGATTAGGGTGAGAGCTGCCCACTCTTGCTTTAGGATATTCTAGTCTCTAGATAAATGTCTTGGGCTCCTCCTTAGCCTTTATGATTTTCAGCTTTTTTTTTTTTTGGTAAGTAAATGGTAAGTCCAAACACACAGAAAATTAATAGCACAGATCACCTCAAGGAGTCTCATGATTGAAGACAGCTAAAACTGTGTGGGACAATTTATGTGTTAAAGTTTAATACTCAAGGTTTAGGAATTTGTTTGAATACCAAACCCTAAATATGAGCACCATGACATGACATTATGACATATTTATTTATTTATTTGAAAAAAGTATATATATATACATATATATATATAATAATTTAAAAAAAAGCTATTATTTTGAACTTTCTATTGAACAAAGAATAGTTTCCACAAAAACTATCAGGTAGCAAAACTAATAGTTATAAAAACAGGTATTTGATTTTTTAAATATATATATATATATATATATATATATATAAATGGTGAGCATAAGAGACAAATATTTAAAAATAATATGTTTTAAATCAAACATCAAGATTTAATAGAAAAAAGCTATTTCATTTGTTTAAAATTAGCCTCATAAAATCTAACAGTCTAACATTAATGGGACTTGTGTCTCTAATGGGACAGCAATTTGTGCACTATTTGTGAAAAGTGCCATTATATTCAAAATGATCAGTGTTGTGGTGATGTGTAGAGTGTGAAAAAGGACCTTTTAAGATAATGAAGATTTGATAAAATAGTTTTTGGAGCAAAGAATCAAGCTTTTCATTGAGTGAGTGTTGAGCCAGCACATTTTTCTGAGAGAGGAATAGATGGCGGAGGGTGAACGAGGGAGGAAGAGATGTGATGTATCGCCTGAAGGGATAGACACATCACAATGGCAATCTGAAGTCATTATGATACAATTACAAGGCTGTGAGATCCTGGCGGTCTCCATTGTCTCTAATCCTGCTGTGCTGAAGTGCAGGGAGTGTCTGAGGGCAGGGATATAGCTGTGATTCACAGTCTGGCCTACATCCCGGGCCTAATGTGGCGACGCGTTTACCAGTCACAAACTGGTGGCGTTACGTAATTAGTGATGCGACAGTTCTCACCTGCACCGCCTCCCAGCCCCACTGTCTGTATTTGGGGTCGTGGGTGAACCTCCACATGTACATGTAGGTCTCGATGACCTCTGGCCTCAGGATGAAGTACTTCTCGTTTTGCCGTGTGGCGATGGCTTCTACGCCGCCGTCAAAACGGAAGGCCTCGGGACCCAGCTTCATACCTGAAACACACATGCGGTCAAATTCATCGCTTAAACATTCATGTTGACAAGGGATTATGGGATTACATTGTTCCTGAGATGAAGAGAAACACTGGATGTGGTGGATTAGGGGCTGGGGCATAATCTGGACCTTTGATAATCTGCGGCCGCTAAAAATACCTAAGCATTATGAACAGGCCGGTGATGACTGTGTATGTGTGTGTTTAACAAGGGATTTGAGTGTGTGTGTGCATGTGTGTGTGTGTTCAGGGTTAACGGCAATGGATTTAGGGAGTCTCTACATTGGCCATGTGACTATTATTGACAGAATAGTTCACTTTCGGGTGAGCACTTTATAATTCTCACTAGGATCTGTATTATATCATACTGGCACTGAACAGAGTCAGCAAAACAACCAACTTGTCTAGTAAAGCAACCAATTACAGCACAGATGTGCAAAAACACATTACATACTCCACAGGCATGTCGGACAAACAGAAAAATGTTCTGCAAAAACAGCTTATAAAAATATAATTCAAATATTTACGACTTTAAGTACATTATTTTGCTTTCATTTTACAATTTTCCAAAAAAATGTCATTACTTTAATATTTATAGAAGTAAATAAGATTGAATTTTATTGTGTTATTGCCTATAATGATAAATCACTCACTTGTTCGTCTTATTTGTTAGTCTTTTTTTGCATAAAATCTGCTGCTAAACTAATAAATGAAAATAAATAAACAAAATTACCAGAAATCATCTCGATATATCTGCATCATTTTTATGTTTTACCTTTAAGTGCTTTTGATTTACTTTTGTAATTCTCATTATTCTCAATACCATTCTTATTACTGTTACACAGCAATTTACATAAACAAAAAATATAAATTGAAATACTTTACAATAATAATAAATTAAAATAAATAAATTCATACATTTATAAATAAATTGAATAAACAAATAAATTG